TGAATTGTTTCCAGTTATCGGCAGTCTTCCTCCCATGGCTCCACCCGGGCAGAATGGTAGATGTAACGTTGTAGCGACTTAGAGATTAGCCAATTTGCGTAGGTACGATGTAAAAATAGCGACCGAGCGCTTCTAATATAACAGGTAACCCTGACCGAAAATTTGCTAACACGCCCAATATTGTCTTGCTTTAGGTTCTTTAAGTGCTGTGGCACTTCTCTCCAATTGTACTTTGTGTGCATATTTCGGATTTTATGTCTCTTGGTTTTTGCTTGTTTGTTATAGGTGTGTGTGACGTAGATCCTGACAGCCAGATCGATACTCTACCCACTGCCAAAACATCATGTTGCGAGGACAATTCAAAACCTTGGTTTGCTCAGATAGAACAATCCTTTGAACTGCCTGGCAGCTCTGGCGTATTTTCATCTCCTGACCACGCTGCTTCTTCACATCGCTGACGACATCGATGGCATCCTGGATCCAATCGCTGAATGAAAGTATACAACGAACTTCAAACAGCGATCTTCAAGGGGAATGTTTTTTCCAAATTGCAAGGTTGTCACAAAGCTTTTGAGCGAAACTTACTTTTAGGAGCTTAGGCCGTCGCAGCTATTGCGATAGATGCAAAACTCATCTGAAACCGCCAGGATAGAAGACACATTCCTTACATACATTTGTACCTTATCACTTGAGATGTGCAGCGTACTCTACTCAAGTACCGACGCACCACTGCCCTTAATGGCCAAAATCGCTTACTCAATTTGGGATTCGTATGGACACTTTTCTCAAATTCTACGTCAGATAACGATACTGATGAAATGAAAACCCATATCGCCGCACGGAAAGGTTTGCTAATTCCGCAACTTCTGGGATTAGCTGCAGATACCAGTCTTTAAGTCGTAAACGCTCCGCGCAGTCAAATTTCCCATCGGAATGACCACGCAGAGCCTCTTCCTACTGATATTACGAGCGATTTGGCCAGCAGGCCAGATCGTGCTATCTACCCCGTTCTTTTAAAAGCAACGCGCAGGCAAACCGGCTGAGTGGCATGCAGCAACGATGGACGCAGCTCGGTAACACTCTCCTATGCTGCGTCGCCGATAGACAAACGGAGCTCCGTCATTCCGTCGACAACAACGCAGTAGTCATCGCCCTTCCTGGTGAACCTAACAGCGCAACCGGCCAACGAAACCGGCATTCGGTTGTATGGCCAACTTTTGCACACGTTTAACCTCGACCTGCAACAATACTTTTCAGGAACATTCCTGGTTGCCGATGTTCAGAACGCCAGAATCGGGGATAAATAAAATTGATCACTTCAACCTGCTCACCGACGTTAAATGACAACGGCTTACAGATTAGAGGTCGAAATTTCCTGTCCCTGGTAGATCGAGCGTTGTAGTATCGCTCAGCCCGGTGTAAGCTAAAGCCAACACACCGGCCGCCAAATTGCTATATGAGAGTTTCACAAAAGTCATCTACCGGGGTCACTTCTGTCAACCGCAGCCGCAGTTACTCCGCATCACATACTTACCAATGGCGTATCCGTCACTTCGAAAGACTTATTTTGGACAAGCTCAGAACCGCCCGTGCGAAATTCGAGTACATGCCCTAACATAGGATCGTCCAGATGTCCAAATCCCTTGGTCTTTTCTGCTTTACATGATGGCGAACAAATTTGCAGACTGGCAACAATGTAGGGACTATCGCGCTCACGACTATGTAACGGTTTTGCATCGAGATACTATGTCGCATATCCATGATATTACAGCTGCTCTCCATGCATCCCGCGTGTTCTAAAAGAGCGATCTGGTGATAGCTTACTATCAGATCCCGGTCGCCGATCAGTACATACCGATAACCGCCGTTGTTACACAAGTTCAATTCTCTGAGTTCCCGCGAATCTCCTTCGACCTGCGTAACGCAGTATAGACATATCAATGCTTCATTGATACTGTCGTACGTGGACTCTACTTCATCCACCCGTACATCGACTATATTCTGGTGGTTAGTTCACAGGAAGTGGAACACCGAAAGCAACTACGACGATTGTTGAACAGTTGAAAGGGCACGTCCACGTCAATCAGGACAAATGTAATTTCATGCAACGGCGTATTTAGTTCTTCGGACACCAACTTGAATTCATGGGTATAAGACCTATGCAGAACAGTGTCCAAGCAATCCGTGGTTTTCTCTGTCCAACTACTCCAGCCGCACTTGGACGTTTTGACAAAATGGTCGCCTGATATCGCCGATTTCTGCCATATTGCGTCGAGTAAATGCAACCAAGTAAGGATCTACTGTGTGGACCCAGTCACGGTAAAGTGGATCATACACTTGAAGCACAAAAAGCCATCAGAACCAGCAAAGAGTCTTTAGCTTTCGCCGTCCATCTTCGTCAATTAAACTCAAACTGTCTGATACGAGCAGCACTCGATACCTCGGAAAATTCCTTCGAAGCTGTCCTAGAGCCATTTTTCCAGTGCAAGTGACAATTAATAGCGTCTTTTTTCGAAAGCCTCAGGCAATCGAGAAGAAATGCAGCCCATTTGGCGGCTAGTTGCTCGCCAATTTCACCACTTCCTGGAAAGTAACACGTCTACAATCTTTACGGATCAAAACAATTCGTCTAAGCGTTCCGGTACCATACGCCTCGATACTCTCCGCTTGAATTCTGTCATCTGAATTTCGTCTTTTATTTTTCGACGAACATTCAACAAGTGTCTAAGAAAGGAATTTTCGTGGCGCGCAGCTTTTTAAGAGTAACGTCTCGGGATCTGACGGATCAGTCGCTCGATATGACATCTATGGACGCCGCTACGCGAGCCATAAAAGAATCAGGGACATCCTACAAAAGCTCTACGCTAAAGTTGGCACCGAAACCGTCTACAGGTACATCAAACAGCAACATCACTACCACACATCCAGGTTTAATTGCACGAACCTCTTTCGTAAAAAGTTCTTCGATACACTGTGCAACATCACGCATCATGACATCCATCCACCAGTCAAGCTGATTATCAACATGCCCAACACGCAACGCGAAATCAGAATTTTTTCCCGCAACCGTCGGATTTACCAACGAGTAACCTGTCATGGACACGTTGCGACTTCGATTGGGCTCTTCCCGTTAGTTCCAGCCCCGATTCGCTCAGGTCCACCTCGACATCTTCGGACCAACAGAGCCGTCCAAAGGCATGTACTACGTAGTGAGCGTGGTTACTTGTGCCACAGGTTGGCCGGAAGCTGCAGTAATTCCCTACGTATCTGCCAGCAACATTAAGTGCAAAATCACTGAGCCCTGTCTCGGTCCACACAGTTAACTAGACGCTGTGACTCCCGAATATGGTCGGCAATTCGAATTTTAGACTTTCAACTACCTTCTTAAGGACCTCAGTTGTAAACGCATTCGAGCAAATGTTATCATTCTCAGTCAAGCAGAACGGTTGACCGTTTCCACCGCCAGCTTACTGTCTTTCTAGATGGCACCAATTCACTCGGAATGACAACCATGCCAATGGTATTACTAGGTATTCGGTAAGCACTGAAAGCACATCTGGAAATGTTCAGCGCAAAACTGGTTTACGGAAAACCACTCCGATTCCCAAATGACCGCATCTCCGAAAGCCCAAACACCTTACGACACGACCCGTACTACATTTGGCAGCTAGTTACTAGCATGAGCCACAACAAATCTGCCTATCTACGTGAACAACATTGCAATTCTTTCCTCCTAAAAGATCTCCACCAATACGTGTTCGTTTTTATACGCATCGACGGTCTACGCAGACCACTTGAACTAACATACAAAATCCATTTAAGTCCCTACAATGTTAGGATCGCTTCTTCGTCATCAAACGCAACGGCAGGCGAAAAGCTCTTGACCTCCGTCTCAAAGTCGATCATGTCAAACAAGAGCCAATTGACAACACAGGTCCTCCGTCCTATTAGAAAGCAAGTCAAATGATGGTGGAGAAAACGCCTGAGACATAGTAACGCTTCAACCGGAAACCAGCAAACCAAGCTTATTGACTCCACTCAGACTCTAAAGGTTTTTAAATCTGACCATCAGGTTCAACGGCTATCACGTTTCATATCACTTTTATTTGGCATTTTTGGTTCTAACAGCATTCCCAGGTTTTTGATTTTCTCCAGTACACTCCCAAAACCGCAAAATACTAAAATCTTTTTTGCAAACCCATACAAGCAAAACGTTTTGAAACAGAGAGGAATAACTGAGAAACTCTTTTGAAACATAATAAATATGAGCTTTTTCTTTGACTGCTTTTGCTGCTTATTTGGTATTTTGGCATCTTTCCCGTTCGCCGCTGTCGTAAATATGCTTGCATGATCTCTCTTGTTTTACTTTTTCCATGTTACGAATAGGCGAACACTTACTCGTGGTTAACGACAAGTCCTCTGTTGATACGAATATTCACACTTTTCTTTTACCAACATTTTTAGGGAGGACACATGTGGTAGCGCGCTAGTGTCCGATCGCGTTGGTTAGCTCCTAGTAGCTTTAGCCGGTCTCACCTCCCGGTCTCGCAGATGGCAAGCCGGAAACGGGCAGTCCTTACGTAGATCGAAGTGTTACCCACAGTTTCCTTTCAGAAGCGGGTTTGTGTAGCGACCTGGGGATTCCCGTATTTGTCTGGGTACGATATATAAAATATTATAAAAGTATGGTTTCATCTTATACCTAGGAACCCAAAAACCTTGTTTGTTTGAACGGTGACCACGAGTGTTTGAGTAAACCAGACGATTGGCACTATGTAAACCCCCGGCTTTCCGCCTTGAAGAGTGCGGAGAAAATTGTTTATAATTCGTTGTATAATGAATAAAAGTTAATTCATATATTTCAGTAATGACCAGTTGTAACAAATCTTTCTGTTACAAACATATGGGATGATAGCAGAGTTAGAAACTGAGAAAGGATCTGTTGACAAATATGCGTGCGTAACGGGGCTGCAACAAAGAAGGTAAATGTTGTTATTTACCTGCGCTATACGTAGCTTTGAATATTCTACTGTTGGATTCCGATATGTACCACGCCATCATCATGTTTCCGTTTGAAATGTAGGTCGGTGTTTCAGTTCCGTATGCTACTCCGATTCGTTCAGACATGCAATCCAGCCCGTCGAACACCAAAACGTAGTCGAGGTAGGAAGCAGCAACTACACTCATCTGAAAACAAAAATGGACAAACAGATTTGCATTGCTCCAAAAGCTTGTTGCAATGTGTATATAACATGCATGGTTTCTTCAATGGGTTACTTTAGACATTGTTAAAATGGACAAATTTCGTGTCAAGAAATATCGTGATGAAAAACGAGCTTAAATCAACTGCTGAACGCAGTCCATTATTAGAACTTACATTTGTTTCCGTAAAACTCATTGCAATTTGGCTATCTGCGTTAATTTTAATGGCGTAGGTACACAGGTCGATCTGCCCGAATCCCTCCGGGTTTTTGATGATCCCCATACTGGAGGCTGAGTGCAATTCTTGGCATTCCGTGAAGACTGCCTGTGCTGGAGAAAGAATAAGCAAAGTAGCTAATATAACAATCGAAATTACGGGATTGTTTGCATTACAAGCACTTTGTACGGTTTTTGTTCGAAATGACAAGCTGGTTATATTACATTCGTCAAAACAGTTGCACTAGGTGTATTAAAATTCAAGAAATGAGATTGTGTTCAATCATCCAAGTGGGCTAATTGTGTCTGCATAACAATTGGCAAATCAAGAATTAGCTCACTTAGAGGAACGTAATTTAAACCTTTTCACTTAATGACATACAACGGCACAAGCTAGTCGTCTGCTTTGTGCACTCATTCATCGGTGGCAGATTTTAAACAAGTGGAAAACTGGTTGCGCGAGATTAAGCAACTACGGGCCAATTAAAGGATTATCAAGCGTGGATTCATTAGCTAACAATGAAAAAGTTTCGCATAACACGATGATGACTATACAAATAATTATGGCTACCTCATCTAATGTAAATTGTTCCTATACAGTTATTCACTGATCCGGAAAAGCAGAATACCTTCATTTTATCTTATGGTGGCTCCACTGTGATATGTATTGATACAATCGGATGCAAACTAAAACACTAATGAGGTCAGCTCATATGCAGTAGACACGCTTGCAGCAAATTTAGCGAAGGCAGCGAAATGTTCGTCTAACATCCAGGAACTCATGGTCAGTCACATCAGATGAATAAGAGCGCAGGCCTGGCTATGTTACTCTGAGATCATTGTCTCAACTGCTATGCTTGGCTAATTTGAAGACATGCAAATTTGGTGCATTTTGTATGTGAAACCAAAGCACTACATTTCTGTTCCTACCCTCGGTTTACGTTTACCATTTACACCTTGTCCTATCAATCTCAACAGAGAGTATATAATCCCGCGCGGGTAAAATTGCAAGATAAGCAGAATCTCACTTATATTTGTTAAAATCTTTTGAAGCCATAACTGATTAAATTTGATAATTGTTGGGTAATATTCAGTTTAAACAAGTGGCAACATTTTAGATAATTTCGTGTTCCCTCTACTTAAAATAAATACACATGCTAACCAAATGGTTCATCTTTACGCTGAAAGAGATTTTTAAACCTATCTTACACGAACTTCAACTGCTAATTTCAAACCTAAAGCCAATTTTATCTATATGCTCTAGTTCTCATGTATTTTGATATATAACTTAAATAGAAAATGAAATTCCAATCCATTTTCTTCTGTTATGTCCGTGGCTCACTGGGCTGGAGAAGAATTCGCAATTGAGCCTGATGCATTTTGCTATATGTGCGGCTGTCACACACTAGTTTGTCAAAAGAGAAATATGACTTCCTTTGTATAATGTGTCCTTAAAAGATATTTTGCAATATCCCTTGGTGACGGAAATCATAATGGGCATATAACGTTTTGTGCCATTATTGTGCGGCAAGGCTTAATGATTGGACAAAAGACAAACGCAAATGCCTGCCATTTAGTGTTCCTATGGTTTGCGAGAACCTACGAACCACATAAGGGACCAGTTGTTGCACGGTTAATATTAAAAATAATTGACAAGAAAAATCGGTATAAGTTCTCTTATCCAGTATTTCCTCTGCAACTCCAAATATTTCACGCAGGGAGGAGCCTACAGTTCCAAAATTTAAAAGTTTCACTCCATCAGATGATAAAGTCAGTGGGCGGAAAGATGGTGCTCAGTTACATGAATCGGCTTCAACGGATGAACACTGTAACTGGTGTTTTTGACGATCCTCAATTTCAAGTTCTGGTGCATGACGAAGAATTTGTCTCAAGGTTGAATGCCCCCGAGATGAATACGTGGTAGTCATTTATGATGTTCATAAAAATTTCTTTGGAATAAACAATCAGGTATTTATGAGCAAATGGTTAACAGAACGTTTTTGGCTTCGTGGTTTTGTGGTCAACATGGGCATCAAGCTGTGGTACTTGAACAGTTATCTTCATTAATTTTCGTAAATCTTTTGGCAATAAGTGACGAACAAGAGAAACGGTTCCATCAATATGCAATGAGGATAGAGGATTATCAGGGTCGACGGGACGAACACATGTTGGCTAACCATAGCTGGGAAACCAAACTTGACTGCCCTAAGGAAACTTTTCGACGTAATAGCTGTAAACGCAACTTCTTTGCTGATTAATGTCATTTATGCATCTAGCTTTGTGCTAATGTCACGCCTAACCATAAGGTTGTTTTCAGGTTGTGTTCGCATCAAGTTATTTACGTCAGGTCATAGACTATCATTGTGAACCCATTCGCTTTTGCAAAAATATGTATGGTCAATTTTCAAAACCTATGTAGTTTACAGGGATAAACAGATGTCAGATTTGAATTCCGCATGAAACAGTTTTCTATAGACCACTGTCAGATTCTTTGGGGCGTAATATTTCTGCACAAGGTGACTTAGCAAAAAGTAACTAAAATTATATGTCCTAAGTTATTTGTCCTCCGTATCCACCACCTCCACTCCACTCTCTCCAAATACCACCTCGTTGAGGTCCTGTACCTGGATCCCTGTACACAAGACAACGGATAACAAGACGCTGCAATTAATTTTACTTTAGTTCCCGTTCCTATTTAAATAAAATGCACTTCCTGCGTAATATTTCTCACCTTCCTAAATGGTACTAATAACAGAAAGGTAGTGTTCAGCGGAGGTGTCTGACCCTTTGTTCAGGATGCTGGGTTAGAACGTCTTTCGTTATAACCGACTTTATGTTAGATCTGGTGGCTGTAAAATCGAGGTAAAAGACAAATACTTGGTTCTTCCTCTGAATGAACCACTCCTACGAAAAGTTTCTGGTTCGGTGTGGATTACCATTTCTATTAATCCAACAAATATCTTAGTAGGTTGCATTTACAGACCCCCATCGTCTGCACTCAACGTAACCGATGACTTGTTGTATAAGTTTTCTTTCTTTTCTGACCTTTCAGACACGAATCAAATAATCGCTTCGGATTTTAGTATGCCCGAAATCCCATGGTCCTTTAACAATAAACCACAAAAACACAATACTTTTATGTCTACTCTTGGTCGACTGGGATGGGTACAGCACGCCAAACATCCTACACGTTTTGGTAACACACTTGAGCTAATATTTACTACGGGATGTTGGAATGTGTCCACATACATCAGTGACAAGTTGCCGGGTAGTGATCATAACATCGTTGGTTGTTCTTTCCAAATTCTTGCTAAACCGATAGAATCAGTGATCAATTCTCGCCTATTCTTTTCTGTGAATTAGTCAATTTTCTCGGATCTTATAAGGTCTTCATATTGGGATCCATTCTTCATAGCAAAAAATGTAGAAATTGCTTGTAATGAGTTCTACCACTGTATGCAGCTTTGTGTTGAAGTTGTGGATCCAGAATTTACTAAGAAGTAGAGATGGACTGCTGCACCTGCAGGCATCTCGAAAAAGGTGGTCACTAAACTTCATAAAATAAAGGACAAGTTTAAGAAAAAACCATTTTACCCTGCTGATCCTACACACCAGATTGCATTTAGCGTTATCCCAAGCTCACCACAAAATACTATGCTCTGGGAACGTAATGTTACTGAAGGGCGCCAAACTGGTAGGTTGTATCTCAAAACTTTTGGATCGTAAACAGAATAGGAAATCTGTTTGTATAAACTCAATTATAAACTGATGGAACTATCATAACCAATCGCGCAATCAAATGTTCGATCTCCAATGACTACTCTATGTCTACTTATGGCACTAATAAGAAAGAAATTCTTCAGCTGAAACTGATACACAGTGGTGGTAATACACACCAAAGTGTTGAATTTTCACTTAGTGACATATACCACCAACACAGATTAGTTCAGCCATCATGCTCACAAGGACCTTACAACATTCCGCCAATCCTAGTCAAGCATGGAGGTTCAGACATCCTCCTGCTTTTGCTTAATGTATTTACACTTTTCATGCTCAATGTGGAGTATCCTATGCACTGGAAACCATTATGCACTGGAAACAACAACAAATACCACGACACAAAAGCGGATCTATGCAAGATGCAAAAAATTAATGTCCAATCTACCACACATATATTATCTCCAGAATCATGGAGAGGTTAGTTAAAGAACACATAGTAAATTATTTGAGTTCTATGACCCTTCTCAGTAAACATCAGCATCGTTTTTTGAAAGGTAGGTCGTGCACTACTTGTCTGTTAGATTACCTTGATTATGTGACAAGAACCATCATCGTAATATTTCTTGACATCCAAAAGGCTTTTGACCGTGTCCCACACAATTTACTATTGCGGAAGCTTATGTCTTACGGTCTCACAAATTCGCTTCTAGATTGGTTGTCTTCCTACTTCGAGGGTAGAATGCAAGTAGTCAAAATCGGTAACTATGCATCTGAAGCCACTACAGTCTCTAGTGGAATGATTCAAGGTAGTGTGCTAGGCCTGCTTTTATTCATACTCTATTTCAATAATCTTGCTGAAATATTCTACGGCAAGCCAGTCCTCTTCGCTGATGATGTTAAACTTGTGTATTGCTCCTCCTCTGGGCAACCTATTTCTAACTTAGCCTGTATTCAGTCTGACTTACCCGTATTGGAGCACTGGAGTAACTCCTGAAAGCTGCACTTTGTAAGTGGCAAAATTAATCTATTGTACCACAGCTGTAGCTTGTCTCTGAACATCCTAACATTAAACGATACCCCTATTCGTGTGTGTGGCACAGTTCGAGACTTTGGTCTAAGATAATATGCTCCATTTAATATTTTAGAGCATGTTATATGCTTGCAGGCTTCTGCCAGAAAAGTGACTGCCTACATAAATCGAACACTTATCTTGAGGGACCCCAGGTTTCAAGAGTTTAAAATATTTATTAGGCCCAAGCTTTAGTACTATACGATAGTGCATAGGAATCTGAGAACAGCAAACATCATATCACTAGAAAACCTTCAAGGATCATTCACAAAGAGGTTTTTGAAAATGCTTAATACTATGACATACTGCGAGTGTTGCGAGGCTCTAAAACTGGGGCCTCTGTGGCTGCGCAGACTCAAACTTAATCTCTGCCTTCCATACCGCTTACTACTCCGATTAAGCTTCACTGTTCAGCCACAACTCGGGTTTAAAACTCGTATGCGCTATGAATTAAGAGACAGCTAGCGCACATTTCGAATACAAAAGTCTCGCACAAAGCTCCGCTCAAATTTTTCTCCGTAAGATATGCGTTATGATGGAACAAACCACCATCGAGTATTGGAAACCGCACTACCTGTCCGCAATTCTGATGCATGACTAATATGTAGCTGACTGTTTCAAATACTTTATCAACACTAAGCTAATTGACGACTCTAAATGTTTTGTATTAGAAAGGTCTTGGATATTTCTTAAAGTCGCCAAATCATCTATTCGTTTCCTATTTGCTACCTACATATAGTTAAGTTCTTGAGTACGTATTTATAAACCATCTTGCTCCTATCACTCCATCTAAGCAATTCTGTTTTCGCTTTTGACGCACTGGTTCGGAGATGCACTAAGCTCTTCAAGCTGAAATCTCTGCACCATCCTCGTCACTTGCCAAGATTTTCGATCAAATTTTGTTTGGCCTATCGGCAATCGTTTCTATTCATTATGATGTTTTTTAATTCCTCATACTTTATCTTCTTCTTTACTTCATTGGTGGTCATGATTGGGTTAATCGCTTGCGGCGACGGATTCCAACTTCCAAAATAAGACTCTATACCCATGCAAATCATATTGCTACCAACTCCGTGGCTTAAAATAAAAATGCCACACTTGATTGATCCACATGGCGGAACGGGCTGAGGCCTAATCGTCCATAATTTATACCCAAAACATACCTTAAAAAACTTTTGATGCCTAGTCTGATGAGCCATTTATTTTGAAGGTCACACCGGCACAGAGCCAATTGGAGTATGGAAGTGCGGGTGAAACCCATCGTGGGAATACCTTGCATGGAAGCGGCCCCTAGGGGCAGTTGCATGGATGATCGTATCACTTTACTCGAGCTTTCCGTGAAATCTACGTTTATTATTGTTCCCAGTTTCTTAATCTCACTACTATTTTTTGACTCTATCCGCTCAAATACCCTAACATACAAATGCTAACTTTTTTGGATTGACTAATAGTACAGTAACCTGGCGAAGCATTTTCCCGTTTTACTTTAGAGTAGTAGAGCAGCCTATTATGTAAATATATATATATATATGTTTGAAGAACTTCGTATCGTTGAATGGAACTTTTGTGTAGTTAATGACTTTATTTTCAGTTTATATCATGAGGCCGAATACTACAAAACTGCATACCCAAAGCGAAAAGATATAGTAACTTGACAACTGTCGTATCGACATTTGGGTGTGATACGTTGGGTGGAATATGTTATCTGTTATGTGCATTAACCTCAGGGAAAAGCCATGTAGATATTACACAAAAAGAAAAAGGGTTTATTAGAAAGCATCGCCCGCCCCTTCAATATAATTGCACGGTCCGTGATACATGTGGAAAAAGAGCGTAACATTTTCCATAGGGATTTTGCTCAACTGTTGCCACCAATGTCTACGCAAGGAGATCGCGACAGCTACCCATTATAACCTGCTTTTATACCCAAAATATATAGAACAATAAATTAAACAACTAAGGAAGTACGATAACTGACCACGCAAAATCTTATGAATTAAATTAGATAGAAGCTGCAAGATACTGAGGATGTATACATGCGATGCCTTTGACATGGCTTCATACGGTTAAATCCTTGCCTATTTACACTGATGATTATAAAAGTCTTTTAGGCCATATGCAAACGAAATCGCTGGTAATTGGGCTGATCTACTCATAAATCTACACCTTATGATCATGTAGCGTTCTAATACACTTCCCAAAATGGTTGTGCACTAATCCTGCATTTAAACACGATGATTTACCTATAATGAAAACGCCACGGCGTGCAGTTCATTCCATTTGAATGTAGCAATTTGAGTACTATATACAATACGTTTTGTTTTAGGCGGAAACACCGTTTTCAGATGGATTTAAGGAAACAGTGAGAACCTAAAGACTTGGGGTAGTCGCCAACAACTAATCTTTACATAACAGCGAATAGAGATACAAGAAACTGTGGCAAGTTATAAACCTACTTGCAACTCATAAGTTAGATTTGGTCTCACAACCTTTAGTAGCTCTGAAGAGAAATCACGTTAACTTTCTCCCACATCATCCAAATTGGTAGCAGAAGCTGTCGTCAAAAATCGCATCTTCAGATGCCTTCTGATTGACCGAATAGATCCCCTTTGTCGTAATCCAGTCATAAAACACTACTCAAATTTTTGCGGTCAGCTCAGGTAGTAACGACTGAGAACATCATGACCCGGATTGGCCCCATGGCCCATACGTAAAAATTCTTGCTGAAATCCCTAAGCCCCTGGTTACACCTGTATTCCTGTTATTATCACCTACTTAGTATAATCGTGTTGGAATTTACTTAGTTTTATGTTCTTGCGCAATCCTCTTACCAAAGTAGCTTAATTTGAGTTAACCTTCTGTTGTGTATTCCTGCTTATTCATAGCGCGTTCACTCACTGATTGACCAAGTCAGTCAAGCACCATAAGCTTTCGACAAGCAAGCGATTAATTACTTTGATTGGTTGGGGCTTGATAGAAATATATAAGCACAATTTTTACAACCCAGCTGAACCGTCAGTGACTCTATTTTTCTGTATCCTGCGTATAATGCTCTTAAATATTTAACAAAATGCTTTTCTGCTTTTTGCTTGCAAAATCTATAACGTCAAACTTTTATCTGCAGCCCGTTGTTTTGTGCATATTTGAAGTTAAATGCTGCAAGGAATAGTTCGTTTCTCACCACTCAAACATTAAACCCTAACTAGGTGTGTGTGGTAAAATCGACCCCGAGATATCACAAACTCATGCTACCGGTAAACAATATCTCATGTATCCCATGAAACACAGCAATACGTGCAAAATGTATGCACATACATGACACCATACTGCTTAACAAAAGATAATAAAAAGTTGGCTGACTTTAAAGTAGACAAAGTAGACAAATCGCTTTTCACTGCATGAGTGAATCATGTTAAAGTTAAAGCAACAAGATTAGCACTTGCCTCGGTTTTCACCTGCTGCGATAGTTAAAAGTCTGCAAGCGATTAAAAAGGCACACAGCAACTGATTCATTTAAACCAAGTTATTCGTCGTAGAGAACAAAGGCTCACTAAAAGAATGTATAACATCACTCGGTATTTAGCTGGGTAAGACGCGAGGGCGTTTCCTGTTACACATGATGAACCATTGATTAGACACGCATTCCGGAATGTGCTAAGGCGTTGAAACGTACAAATTCTGATACCAGATGATGTCATTGCATCTAATTGGGTAATGCACATTGCCACGTAGCTGAAACCAGCCCACAGAATTTAATTGCTCATTTTCCTGTTTGCCATCACATATGCCTCCATATCGATTCGTGTCAGTTGTCAGCTTTGATCAAAATAGTAGTTGGTTTCGGTAATACTGCATACAGTCCATCCATTTTAGGTGATATTGGGTTGGGAAGAACAATGAGATTCACCTATCGTAGCAGTAACAACTGTTCAACACGTTCAGCGGAGAAGATATATTATTTGGGAGTTTAGAATACTATCTACATAGAGAGTGCACGTAATGCGCCTGCAGTTAACATGACCGTTTAGATTGCTTTTTGCTTAGCTGAACAAGGAAACATCTTTTGTTAATTTGTTCATATCAGATTGCAAGCGTCACTGCCAGGCATATCCTCCAATCTCACAGTAAATTTAAAGCCAAACATTTCTGGAAGATAACATTTCATAACATAAGCTTTTAACAACGTAATGATGTAATAAGAATACATATTTTATAGCTTATAATGCAGCGCACTAAATAAACTGCGGTGGTCTGCAGCAGCGGTAATAAGAACGCTGCTACGAAAGCTTGTTCAGTATTATTTTATACACATACAGGGCGGTCGGAAGTAACTCCGCAATGCAGATTCGAGAAATCTGTGCAACTTGAACAAGGTTACAACCACTCCGATGAGTGGTTAACCGATCATTCGAGTTTAACTGAGTGACTTCAGGCCGAACTAATACATATAAGCGACTCTCGCCAAAGAAATAGAGATTACTGCACAATAAGTATACGTACAGCGAAAACACCTGCTTTCTATCAGTGTGCTCTGTTAGCGGTATTCAGTATGTCCGAGGGAATTATTTAAGGTGGTTTCATATATGTATGCAGCAACTTAGCAGCAAGAACCCGACGCTTTCGATTGCTTTTCGTATGCTGTAGGAACACACGTTAAATTGTGTAGTTTTCTTTGTAGTCCTTAATGACTTCACACATACTTGTTCTTGATGTCCGTGACTTAGGCTGCGGATCTGAATGTATCATGCTAGCTCAGTTAAAAGCCGCATGCTTTGACTTTGGTTTTGAGTATCATGCCGACATGTCTCGGCCTTCCTGCACTTGTAACACGACTGCAGGTGAAATTGATGCCTTGAGTGATGAGCTTAGCCTATTTATTTCAAAAGAAGGCTGATAAAGGCTGCATCCTTAACGCTTACTGTTTTATTAATCACTGTTACTGAACATTTTCAAACTGCAGTTTACCAATGGGGCTGAGTATTGCTTAAGTGTTAAAGGATAACGTTCACTTTCGAAGCACATTTTAATATTCCGCAGGTCGGTTGCTAAAAATTTAAGATTAAGAGTCTACTTGCAGCACCATTTGGCAAGTTCTCATTCTCATTAGGCCCTTTAGTTAGAATTTTCTTAGAAATACAGTCGCGTACTGTTGAGTATGGAATTCGAGTAAATCCATATATTCCACCTTGTAAGTAACAAGTTCATCCAAATATTATGAAAGCACCTTTTGAAGAAAACTATTAGCATTGTTGTTCATCCGAAAAGCGACAAGTTTAAAACCTCCATTTATACAGCTATGGTATGATGTTCTGTAAGTCTATCTACTCAACGACTTTTTTTATCGCTAAGGAAACCAAGATAAGTTTTTGAATAGCCATATAACTCGCATTTTCCCTACTTTAGAAACTCTTATCCAAGTTATGCCGCTAGTGTTTATCCGCCTGAGAAAAAGTGTCGTTTCTTCTAGTACATTACTGATTTTAATTAATTACGTAGCTATCGTTCCAGTCCGCTAAGCATGATGCTTATAAGTTCTT